TAAATTTTAAAATAGAAAACTTTTTATTTTATTATGTCTGCTGTAACTTAAATGGGTAAGATATCAAATTATATTCTCCTTATTATAAGCTAAATTAGAGGTAATTAATTTTTTTTTTTTTTTTTTTTTTTTTTTTAAATTAGATGATACTTTAGTGTAATTATTAGAATAAATCAATCATGTATATATTTACAAAAATTTCTATTTTACAATTCTTGCCTAATGAATATTAATTAATTTATGTAATTAATATTAAATCAATAATTGAAATCCTTCTCTTATCGTAATGCAGTATTTTTTAATTAATTTAATTAAATTGAGTTTTTTTCTCCTTTTTTTCGTATGATAAATTATCATCGAAGATCGTCTTAGATCTATTATAATTTAAATTATTTATATCTATTTGTATAAAATATCGCAAGTTATAAAAGACGTATGATATATATATATATATATATATATATATAATATATTACAAAAAAAAAAGATATATACATCCTACTTCCTCGCATAGAAATTTTATAAAATTGAAAATATTTTGTTAGTGAAATTATATAAATTGAATAACGGAGAAAATCATTTTACCAAGATTTAATAATATCGTAATTTCAGCATAGAAATATAAAAATGCCATAAGTAAAGATCTATAATTTATCCGTTGTTTTCTTCCCTTCCAAATGTTAACTTACAATACTGAATATTTCTCACCACATTAAGAGCGTAGCGGTATTGAATATCATAAATTCATATGAAATCAGCAATATTATTGTAAATTAATTGACAAATAGATCGAAAATCATTTAAACAGCCAGTAAAAGTAATAGAGTTAAGTAAATAAATGAACAACAGCGTTTATGGGCACAAGCAGTAACACACAATACGATGAACAAATGAAAAATGTAAGAAATTGCGCTTGAATTAAGAGGAACGTAGGCCCGAGAAGAAGATAGTGGGGCGAAAATATTTACAGTATAGAAAAATCCTGCAAAAAAAGACACAAGTATGGGTCTGGAGAAGAGGCGGCAGCTTGAGGCGTATCGTCTTGGTCGAACGCCAAGCGAAATAACGTTAAAATTAGCCTGAACCTGGTCTCGTTTATCGACACGCCGCTCGTTCGAATACGCAAAATTATTCGCTCCTAGGCCCCAATTTGCTTTTTTTCGCGTACTTTTATTTCCCGTACCTGGCTCGCATGGTCGTTTTTTTGCGTTTTTGCGTGAAACCATATTAAGCCGCCGATACGTGATTCGTAGATACGTGCCGCAGCTAAACCAGTTTCTTTATTCAGCTTTCACGAAGCTTTTTTACGTTGCGATTTTGGTAACACTGCAGGAAATACAGTGAATATGAGAAAGATTTTAGTTTATCGTTGAGTCGATCGTTAAAGCAAACTGACGCACAATATTGAGATGATTATTCAAGGTAATAATACGAAAATTAAATGGCCAAGCGCATTTGTCTTTTGATGTTTTAGCGAATTCGTTCGTTTAATCGAGGTCTGCTATTTTCATTATGCGATTGTGCTGGTATAAAATTGATAATAGAACGAGTAATTAATTGAAAAAGGGCAGTGGATTAAGAAAGAGATGACACTTTAAATATGGTCAAGGCATTGTACCCGACAATCGGCTCATTTGCTTAATCAATTAGATAGCTTTGATATCACATAGTCGATAATAATGTAATCGATAATACTTTTATTCGACTAGATATATTAAATTAATATTATAATTATGATAGCTCGATCAATATTTATTAACCTAATATTTAAAACGGGCGCGCAAATATAGAGAATCACGTTTAACGAACTTTTGTTCATACATTAAATGGTTAAACATAAAAGTAAGCCCATGAAGATAAATAAACGATAACGCATTCGCCTGCACACCGCCAAATAGCAAACGACACCCAATTTTATCACAAAAATAATTTGATAAAGAAACATGCTTATTTATTATAGCATTTGTTAGATCTTCGACTACACGAAAGCAATAAGCAATTAAACTACGCCATTTTTGTATTTTACAATAATACTCTTTTTAATTTTTTATTAAAGCGCAGTATATCGTTAATTTGAACTTTGTTCAATCAAGCTTTACTAGACCATCAACTGCGATTTAGCTAATGAATTAACGCTCAATATACTTAAGTATGATCGGAGCGTTACGTTATATTTTCATTATTTAATATTAATACGACCCTCGTTCAATTAATGTGCAAACATATTTAAAAAATAATAAAATATCACCTTAATTATTGTTGACTCGTTTCTAATAACGAATTCTTAACGTTTAACAAGTAATGTTTTAATGAATTGGATATGTTGCTAAGTTTATTATAATCCCTAGTATGTTAATAACTGAATAGCGATTTCACAATTAAGTGGATCTCGGTATTTTTGTTCATTTAACTAACCTTACGATACTAAATCTTATTTGCGAGAAATTATATATCAAGATGACACTGTATCTCATGTTCAATTCTTTGAGCTTAATAAATCGACTTTACCTCAATTTACAGAACAAATAGTGGTCACTAAGCTGTTATTTCTGTAAATTCACTTAAAAAGAACTTAATAGAAGTATCTATTTATAGGTTTATTGAAAGATAAAGAAAAAAAAAGGAAGAAAAAATGTAAAATTTAATGAGAAGGATTTATGTCTGCACTTATACAGAAAAATTCATAAATAAAATAATTACGTAATATGGAGTTTAAATTTTTTTTTTTTTAAAATATAAATATAAATATGCGTAAATACACCCTTTTTTCTTCGTTATAATATTACGAGTTATATTTGACTGTGACTTTAATCACATTTTATTTATAAGAATTGTCGTCCCATTATAATTTCGTAAAGCATGCCGATAAACGCTATTCTAATGAAATCGTGACTTTTATAACTGATACATGACATTTTATATCATCAAAAATTAAATTTTTTTAAGATAAAAGCAAAATATAATTTATGTAATAAATTATAATTTGTGAATATTCGAAGCAAAAATTGAATAAGCCATTAAAAGCCTATAAAAATATTATGGATATCAATGGCAATAATGGCAATTCGTATAAAATATTTTTTATAGGATAATAGTCTTTAGATAGATATTTAGATATATTAACGTGGAGTTTGAATATTACTAATTTGAAATTAAAAATGCATACTTTACTCGCGACTCGATAGTATTTTACCATACTTAGCATAAATTTATCGACAAGTATTTGTAAAATTTAATAAGAAAATTCATTCGATCGTATACTATTAATTAAATACGCTGATTAAACAATGTACTTGCTGCATTAATATTTGTAAGGATAAAACATAATGGAGATAATATTGAACAATAAGAAACGTAATCAAATAAACAAGATTTCCTTAATTGTTGAACACAAAATATAAAATATTAAAAAAAAAATCACAATATTATTAAATTTAACATAAAAAGTATAAGAATCAAATGATCATTGATGAATCTTGTATCAGTGATGTTAGTGTCGACAACGAACAACGATTCCTTGTTTTTTTGCCTGTACAGGCTTTCTAAAAGTTGGTACAAGACCAGTTCAAGCCACCGGTACAAGCCCAGTTCAAGCCCCCATACCCCCCCCCCCCCTCCTCCTCCCCCGTCCTCCGTCCCCCACATTAAGCCGCCAATATAAATCTGTCGTGCTGAAACTACAATATACGGAGGATAGGAACGCCATTCGAGTCAATAAAAGTCTTTAATTTGATGAAAGTAAAGGAAGAAAGAATGAAAATCGAAACTTTCTTTTCTAATCCAAATAATTCATATATTTGCATTAATATTTCATACGAAATACTTAATCCAGCAGCTATTTCAAATCCATTTGTTCGTCTAAGAAAAAGTTAAAGATATAAGTCTAGATTAAGGCGTCACTGCAAAGAAAAATGTGTTGAACTTATATCAACCAAAAGATAATACATACAGTCTTTAAAAATTTAATACCAACTCGTATGTTAGATAAAAGAACATTACTTTTACGTATGTACGTGTACGCTCATAAAGTAAGATGTAACAGTCGTCTTTGTATTCCATTATATTTCTTAAATTTTCAGTCTTGGAATTATCATTTGAACAATTTTTCAAAAGCCTATATTCTTTATAATCGCCATTAATGGCAACGCGATTGATTATCATCTTAAATGAATATTTAAGACTAAATGAAATTTTTAATTCAAATGAGATATCGAAAGGTTTTTTCATTAAATCGAAATAGGTAGAATTACGTTAGGGGACGGGATAATAGAAGAAAACCGTGACTGATTTTCACCAAACCACCTTTTATTTCCATTTGATTTCGCGTCGGTTATGAATGAATGCAAATTTGGGTCGATTGTAATAAATAGAATGTTAAAAGGGTCCGATATTGATTTCGTTTATATCATTATAATCTGATTATCGAGGAAAGCTCTTATTCTATCGACAGCTGTTTTCATAAATGTTTCATCCTTATTAAATATATGATCAATGTTTCGAATTTATAATAAATTTCAGATTTCGCATAGATTGGCTGTTTAATTTGCCGTGACTTATAATTGTGAAATATTATCTGCCATGGAACTCTGCTTACTCGAGCATTTCTCGGGAGCGTTTGATATTACAAATACGGTCATTTATATCAATTTTTTCTTCAAAATCTACCAATAGTTATAAGACTTCTCAGATCGATAAAACACACAAAAAAGGCGCGCGCGCGCACACACACATACACACGGGGAGAGTGGAGGAACCCTTTCAACAATGTGTTATAAATTTCTTACACGCTCTCCTTCGCGCATCAGTATTTTTTCGCAAATCCAATGTGTATTTACCGTACGTACGAAGCTCGCCGAAAAAAAAAGAAAGAAAAAAGAAAGAAAAAAAGAAAAGAAAAAATAAGGGCAACTCTCTCGGCAGTTCCCGGTCCCCACCCTGCCGCCCATCTCCCACCTTCAGGGCCCTTGGATAGCAACGCGTGTACATAATTGCTTTCTCACCGAGGAGATAATGCCGAATCCACTTCTTCTTAGGAGGCGGCGGCATCCAGGTAGCGGGGCTCGTGATCATCACCTCTTTCATGCTGAGCCGGCAATATCGTTGACCCTCCCCGAAGCTTCGGTGGGTGGCGTTATCTGTACCGCTGTCGCCGCTACCGTTGTCGCTATCGATCTCGGTACCGATCGCGGATCCGCTATTGCCGCTGAGCCGGGGATAAGCCGCGTCGGCCATCAGAAGCACGCCCATCTTCTTCGACGTTAACGCCGAGGGTTAATAATAGCGCGTTTCAGCACATCGAGATATCCGGGAGCAGCGTCGATCGGCAGGCCCTGACTTTATCTTCGTTACGCCTTTGTGCCCAAGGCTCGCGGATCCTCTTGTCCTCCGACGTCGCCTCTTGTTCCGATTCTTTTCCAATTAAGACATGCGCCGCTCCCTTGACTTGACTTGAGCAGGGGACGCCATTTTTTTTTCTTCTTCTTTTTCCAAGCTCCCTCCTCGCGCGTAACGAGCTGTCGGTCGAGGAACTTGTCAACAAAACGACTATCGCTTTAAAGACGTCTGCTGCTAGCGATTATATAAGTGGACACTCGGTGAGACAGAGTCGTCGTCGGAAGGGAGCGAGGGAGGATGAGGGAGGGGGATGCACGACGACGAGGACGAAGACGATGACGGCGACGGCGACGACGACGACGACGACGACGACGACGACCGCTTCGACATTCAGCACCATTCACGTGGAGGCTCCATGTCGCCTTCTCGGCTGTATGCCGGCCCGTCCTCCGGCTAGACTTTTCCCCGTCTACCACTCAAGGAAAGAACCGGTTTGAGCCGGAAGCTATTTTCCTCGAGCAGAACGGACGATTTCCTAGCGTCACTTACGGCTACTTTCTCCCGAAGGCGTTATTATCTCGCGCACGTCTGCTGAGGGGGAGGGATCGACCTCGAGGACGACGAGGCCGCACACTTGGAGCAACTACGCTTGCTCTCTCTCTCTCCCTCTCTCTCTCTCTCCCTCTCTCTCTCTCTCTCTCTCTCTCTCTCTCTCTCTCTTTCTCGTGCGTGCGTGCGCGAGCGGCTCCACTACGAGAATGGGATTGTATAATCTCGTCGCACGAGTCGTGGCGAGTCGCGGGCGCCGACTGAAGTGCCAAGTAGAGTGAACGCAGTTTCCAACCTGAGGATGATGACGCGCGCGCGCTTGCTCGACCGCTCGACCGTCTTCCCCTCTTCCTCGTTCAAAGACACAACGCTTTGACTCTCGCTCCTTCCCTCTCCTCCTCTTTCTCTTTTATTCTTGCTCTCCCTTCTACCAATGACACTTTTCCTTCTGCCAACACGCGCT